GTATGGGGGCAGTATGGGTGTATGGGGGCAGTATGGGGGGCAATGTGTGTATGGGGGGACAGTATGGGTGTATGGGGGCAGTATGGGGGGGGCAGTATGGGGATCAGTGTGTGTGTGATAAGGGTAGGGGGCTTTTTAAAAAAATATATATTTTATTAATTTAGTTTAATATAAATAATCATTATGTCCCCCCTCCCTTCTTACCTTTACTGGGGGGAGGGGGGACATTTCCCTGGTGGTCCGGTGGGGGATTCCCTGGTGGTCCCAGTGGTGATGAGAGTGAACTCTAGCCCGCGCTCCCGGGCTAGAGTTCACTCTCGCGAGATTTGGAGCGTTGCCGTGGTAACCGCGGCAACGCTCCAAATCTCGAGAGAGGAGGACCCGGAGGAGCTACAGACTGAGCTCCGGGTCCTCCTCTCACTCCCTCCCTCCCCCGCCGGCTGTCAGCACAGTGCCTGCGGACCGGGGAGGGAGATCTCTGATCTCCCCCCCGGTCCGCAGGCACATTGCAGGGATAGCACCTGCATGTGCTGACAGGGGAGGGAGACCGGCGGATTTCTCGGGGGGGGCAATTGCCCCGTTGCCCCCCCCCTGGATCCGCCACTGAATGGGAGTAGGGCAGTCTTACACTTCTGTGATTTTAGCAATTTACTGCAGCTGCCAATGTGTAGGGACACATTGACTTCTTTACAACATAATGTATGCAATGATCACAGCAACAAACAAGAAAGAACATTTGTAGATAAGATTCACCACTTATAAATACAAAGTAATGAACATGGTTGTAAAAACATGTTCTGTTATGTACATATTAAAATGGTTAGATCAAGGCTCAAACTTTCCACTCACCACTAGCTAACTAGCTCACCACTAACCAATGCGGTGAGTGAAAATTTAACTTTGGCAAGTTGAAGTTCACCTGGAGCCTGCAGACTTGTAGGGGCAAGTAACTTAACGTTTAGCTAGTAACATAGGATGTGAAATTTAAAGCCTTGGTCAGATTATTAAAATAACTGAGAAATACATTTTTATTTTTTTTAAATTGGGTTTATTCATGGATTCTAATCTCGAACATTCAAAACAGTAGCTGCTATTACAAATACAAGGTTATCATATAAGATGGCATTTGTACAAAATGAATACCAATAAATACCAGAAAAGAAGAACTGCATGAAATACATACATGCTAGCGATAAACAATCTGTTAATCAGAACCACAAGCTCAGACATCCTGGTAAAGAAATGCCATGCAATGTGGGTTTAGGAGGTAGTATTCTAAAAGTGATTCAATCTTCAGTAACATTCCATTAGTTTGCATAGTAATTCGTTCACAACTACTTTGTAATAACTATCTTTTCACATTTAACACTTTGCCCTAAAATTTAATATGCCATATTTGCAAAATAGTAGAAAGATGAAAATCTGGAATACTAATCTGGGTTATTCCAAATGTGGTTTAACTTTTTACCCAAACTGCGGGGTTTAGGCTCCACCTATTTACATCCGCTGTGCAACTGAAGCTATGGTGAACTGATGGGTTTATAACATTCCCAACAACCCTGGATAAATTTACTGTGTAATTACTGGATTTCATGCATCACTGAATACAATTCCCTTTGGAGTACTAAGTATTTAATTACTGCAGACTTCATTCCAGGAATAGCCTAAAACATGTAATTATCAAATAAAGAGCACTTACATGGAATGCAAGCTAAATGTAAACTGGCTTCTTCTCTGGAAGCGATAGGTCATTATTCCCTCACTTCAGCAAACATCACTGAAGAGTTTTACTGGGGGAAATTATGCAGTGTAGGTATGTAAAAACACCTACCTCAGCATCCTCCAATGATGGTCCAGACATGTAAAAGTAACACTAGAGTTTATTCCTAGTGCCCGCCTCCCCCCGCAAGGGTTGAAAAGGTAGTTTACTGGCCTTTCTCTCATGCCGCTCTGCTCTAAGCCTCCTTGGCAGAGATTGTAATGATTTCAATCAATCCAATACTTTCTCACATTGGAAGGCTAGTGTGCAAGAGCAGCTAGCTCTACGAGACCATCTTTGATCCTACCCCCCACGTACGGCTATCCAGTACAAAGTTCCTACTTACTGCTTGGAAAGAATGGAGCAATAAGCTTATTGACTCAGCAACGTTAATAAAGTGTGCCCCAATTCTGGCCCTTCAAGCATTATCACCTGACCTCCCAGTGGGATCTTGGATCAAGGGAGGCATAGCAAAAGTCTCTGATTTGTACGACTTACGAGGAATTAAACAATTCCCGGATTTGCAAAATGAATTCTCATTAGCTCATTGGGAACTATTTACATACAATCGCATTAAAAGTATCCTCCTCTCCCGACAAATGGAACCCCAGGCACAATCAGCCCCGCATAGGTTGTTTAATCTCCTTACAAAGGGAGCAACAAATTTAAAATCCCTGTCCTTATGTTATTCGGCTCTTGGTGAACCAGAGGAAGAACAAAAGCTACCCTATATGCACAGCTGGGAAAAAGAACTTGGTAAGATGTTCCAACTCTCACAATGGCAGGAGGCTATCAGATGCACGAAGGCAGCCTCTAAAAGCATATCTATGTGGGAAGCGCATGCAAAATGACAAATGAGGTGGTATTTGGTGCCCCTCAGACTCTCTCAATTCTATAAGGATGCAAATCCTACCTGTTGGAGATGTCAAACCACCATAGGCTCTCTTAGCCATGTATTCTGGGAATGCTTAAAGTTAAAGCAATTCTGGAAGTCAATAACAGCGTTAGTAGATCCTATATCCGGACTCAGGCTCCCCAGATTGCCCGAATATTACATGCTCCACATGATCCCTAACCTTGTAACCATGCCAAACAGAACAATTATTTTAAATCTCCTAGTAGAAGCAAAAATTTGCATTGCTCATCATTGGAAAAGCACCATATCCCCACCAATAATGGAAATGATCCAAAGAGTGGATTCCATATGCTCATATGAAAAAATGTGCTTAACCGTGCAGGGTAAACCTTCCCATTATCAACGAAGGTGGGGAGCTTGGGATGGGATAAGGGATCAATTCCTCCTAGACAGTTAGGGAAAGCTGGGAGACCCTGAGTCGGGCATACCACTTTTAACCCATATATGAGAGGCACTGCGCTAATTTACTAGCTCCCCAGGCACTGTTTACCGACCAAGGTGGTGAATGAACAACTAGGCGCATTGTACTCATTACTGACCAACCCAGGGCTGAGGATGGATAGATAGTGGGACGGGGGAATCTGACCTGGGGCAGTCATCTTAGTCATGTTAACTAAAGTTATGCATGAGGTAAAATTAGCTCAGGATTTCAAGTGTGTCTATGGAGTGAAACCAACCCTCCCTCTAACTTTCCTCCCTCCTTTTTCTCTCTTTTTCTTTTTCCTACCAATCCCTCTCCGTCTTAGTGGTCAAACAACCAAGGGTACTGATGACGACAAAAGCTTCTCACGGTACAACCGTTGCGGCTTAAGTATTAATCGATGCTAAACCCATAACGTAGCTCTACCTGATGTACCTTCTACATTTATAAGGATCGGGCAATATAACATTTCTATGCAAGGGATTCATGCAATGAGAACTACAAGTTATATTACGTCATATCATGGACCCTTGATATCCCTGTACCATGTTAAAATTTGAGCATGCTGGCACTAGGGTGTTTGATGCCTAGCACATGAGAAGCTTACTAATAGGCCCTTTGCTTTTCTATAACTGCTATGCTTAATTTACCCACCCAGGGCTGGGGTTGGACGGAGGGAGCACAAGGAAATCTGTCCCAAGGCAGCCATTTTAGTCCTCTTAATTAGGTTAAATATATACAAGAAGCAAAATAAGTTCACAGTTTCAAGTGAGTCACTGGAGTGAAACCCCCCCGCCCCCCACATACCCCTTTTGTTTCTATTAAACCTTTCTATCTTAGCGGTTAACCAGAGTCGAGGTACAAATTACGCCTCCTTAGGAAAAGGACGAAAGCAGGGGTGTGCAGGCCTTTCATGGCACAAATCCTAAAATTGTAGTATTAACCGGAGCTACACCTAAAACGCAGCTTTACCTGATATACCTACTACATGCACAATGACCACACTCTGTAAAGTAATAACACATAAGCTAAATATGCAATGTCTACTAATAATTGTACCCTGCTAAACCTGCAATCATTGTTGTACCATTACCATGTTAAATATTGTACTTGCTGGTACTAAATGTGTACGATGTCTAGCACATGTGATACTTACTAACATGTACCTTGCTTTTCTGTAACCGCTACGCTTATTTTAACAAAGAATTCAATTAAAAAAAAATTCTACATTGAAAAAAAAGGAATACAGCTGATCATAAAAAATAGAACCAGATAGAATATAGGATCCAGACAGAAAACTCATGACGTGACAGGGTAAAAGATCTCAATAAAAGTGTAACCAATACACTGCAGATATTGAATTTGTTTTAACTTAATTTTTCTCAGTTAGCTAATACCCAAACATAGTGAAATTGTACTGCCATAGTGAAAGTTTTAGGAATGTAGCTGGTACTAAACAATTGAAAAATTAAAAACTACCAAAAACTACCCAAATAAACTTCTACAAATCCAATTGAAACATAGGTTCAAAACAGCACCTTGAGTAAGATGCTCAGACTTCAATGAAGATTTGCAGGGTGCATCACAGACTGGTTCCATACCAGATCCTGCACAAAGGTCTGGACCTGAAGCTAGTTTACGGTGGAAGAGCACTGAAAGAATCAAAATCAGTCCCTTAAAAGGTACTTGCCACCAGACCCCGATCAAGTCTTGCATGTCTAAAGAAAGGTCTCAACCTGCTTATCTGAAAAAACCCTGGAATGCAAGATCATTGTTTAATTTCCATGCAGCCAAAAAACAACATCCAATGTTGTAGACCGAGAAAGGGACCTTGAAGAAAAAAGGTCCTGCCACAGAGGTAGTGACTATAGTTTAGCCATGGATATCTCTACCTGAATATCATACCACATCCTACACAGAGATGCAGATCTCACCAGTAGAATAAAGGCTAATTCTGGACTAATCGTTGCCACCAATCAAAATAACAAAGGAATTGTTAATGAGGAGGAATTATTTTGCATACTCAGTACGGTAGCAGATACTGCATGTTGACAGGCAAACCTACTAAGGGAACACACAGTGTACTGGCAAACCTACTAAGGGAACAGATCCAACTGCCCTACACAAATATGTCATCCGTTGACCCATATAGGACTTAGTAGAGAAATCATGTGTTCCTCAATAAGGCACACATACTCAACTTCTTGATTGTAAATAAAATAAAAGAAGAATTACTATGTTAAATTTAAAAGAACAAAGAACAGCAATTCCACATTAGCTGAATGCTGGAGAGGGACACATTGCTTCTAAATGGAATTTCTAGGTTCTCATATACTTAACAAGTAAATTGTGTCATGCCAAGTGTGCATAATTCATTGTTGCACTATGGAATATTGTCATTTAATGTAATTTGTGTAGTGCATATATGAAGCGGTTGCTTGGTAGAGGTGGTATTGTGAATTCCAAAATGGGTTAATTTGATTGTATGGGACGGCATAATGTATACAACCTAAATTCCTATTTGAAGCTGGGACCCCAACAGAGCTACTCTGTAAGGTGGGAGAAGTCACACATAGGTGGCCTGAAAGTCTGGTTTCAGTATAAACATATATATCTGTACTTGCTTGGGGCCAAAATCTAATTTTGAGTGAGTCGCCATCTTCCTTGCCAAAGACCCCTTGGGCAGAAGCTCTACTTTGAAAACCTAAGGAGTAAGTGATTAGGACTTCTGTTATTTTATCCCTTTTGTTTTTGTCTGTTGGTGTAACTAATTTGATTGTCATCTATATTTTTGTATGCACTGTGACTAATTTTGCTCATAATAATTATTCCTTTATTAAAGGACCACTATAGGCACCCAGACCACTTCAGCTTAATTAAGTGGTCTGGGTGCCAGGTCCATCTAGGATTAACCCTGACTGCTGTAAACACAGCAGTTTAGAGAAACAGATATGTTTAATTTTAATTGAGAATGCTTTCCTATGAGACTGGCTGAAAGCGGGCGCGGATCCTGCCGCGCATGCACATTCAGCCGATGACGGCAGAAGAAGGAGGAGGAGATTCCCCAGCGCCCTGCGCTAGAAAAATGTAGGAATTTAACCCCTTCCTCACCCTAGAGCCCGGCGGGAGGGGGACCCATGGACCCTATAGAGCCAGGAAAACGAGTATGTTTTCCTGGCACTTTAGTGGTACTTTAAGTTCTGCCTTTGTCTGGTAAAGAATCACGTTACCTGAAGAGACTAATTAATCAGTGTTTTGCAATTGCATAGGTATTGTGCCAAGTTGTATTTGATGGGTTTTAGTATTAAGTTACCTGGGGGACCAAGGCACCCCATTTATAAATTGTTTTGGTGGTGGCAGCGTTAAAATAATAATATTTATATTATTATGCTTAAGTGTGGATGGTGTTAAGGGGGACTTTATCATTATTTATGCTTTTGTGCAGACAAATAGTGAACTTTAACCCTTTCATTACCACAACGATGTCACACACACTCTTGGAGTAGGGTGCGTTCGTGATAAACTGTGATGGCACAGAAGATCTTAAGAATATGGACCAACCAATGGGGGGAACTGAAGTCAATTTGTGTTCAAATATTTGGGATCAATTTTATGAATACAGTAAAAAGTAATAAGTTGGTTGTAGGATGGAAGCAACAAGAAAGGGTTGAAAGTATATGTTGACAGAGATTGATTTGGAGACATAGATGAATATATAATGCATCCATATATAAATGGTTCAAGTTTTTTTTATATATATTTTAAAATCTACAAAATAGGAGGAGAAAAAAATGGGGGATATAGGTCTTCTATACCTTGCCAAATAAAATTGAATTTACACAAGAGGACAATCAAAGCAAAATAACACCACCAAACAGAAACATCAATGTGGAGTTTACCAACACAAAACTACAATTGTTGGTTGCCCACATAAAGCACGCAGTGATTTTGATTAAAATAGAAAATGTGGGACTACAAAAAAAACTATACAATTAATAGGATGCCTGAGTAGCCACTGACGTGTCTAAGCCACCCAATACAACTAACCAAAACGATTTTTTTTTTTAAATAAGTCATGAAGAGCATGCAGTGTCCTACCATCCATTTTAAAATATCAATACAAACCAAATCACCATGTTTAGTGGAACAAGG